TTCCTTCAGTCCAAGATGATCCAGGATTGTCTCGATGAAGAACATGTTTGCATCACTTAGGATCCTCAGCTCACACCTGAAAAAGGGGGAAAAAAGAACATCGATTACTTTACAGACAACTAAACATGCTGTAAGAAGTAAGAAGAGAATGATACCCTAAGGCATGAGCTGACTTAACAGCTGGGACGATCCTAGGATGGATAGGAGTTCGTTTCAGAACCTCAACAATGTCATCAATGGTTTTTCCTTGTGCATGGATCTCTTTCATCATCGTGTCCTGTAATTTTATGCCACCAAAAACGTAAATGTATTTAAGTTTTAGACATTGGGTTTAATATTTATTATTCAAATGGAAAATATAAGTACGGATTTTATACCATGACAGAATTCCAGGGCATGGTAGGGAGAAGCTGGTTAAACAAATCGGTAAAACCCAGTTCATCAATAACCCAATTATCACTATCACAGTCAATGATGGTTTTGTCAAAATCGAAAACCACAACGATTCCAGCCATTTTGGATGCAAAAAATAAGATTGAGAAGAGAGACAGAGAATAGAAAAGCTCAAAAACCCTTTTTTTTGGAAGAGGTTTCCAAGTGTTGTAAGGTCATGTAAGAGAGCAAGGGTATTTATAAGCAGAGAAAAGGAAGTTACTGGTATAGGAAGAAGGGTTGAGCATGCAGCAGGCAGTTTAATCTTAGCTAAAAGACTCAGGCAGATCACCACGTATCCTTGGGACCGACCACCTTTGGCAAAACCTTCATTTGGAGAAGTTGACAATCAAAGTTTTTCACGTGGTAGGGAAAAACATTTCAAATATTTATAAATTATTTTTCTAATTTTCAAAAGATGATAATAATATCTTTCAAATAAAAAAGTACCTTTTTCAGGTGGTAATTTTCTAAACAAATAGATATTTTTAAATAAAATAAAATATAAAAATAATTTTTATTCATTGACCCTATGCTACTTATCTACAAAATAAAGATTTTTATGATAAAACAATTAATTTAGTTCGTAATAAAAGTAAGTAAAAAAATTCTTTTTAGAACGTTTGTAGTTGCCTAGTTGGACCATCATAATTATCATTAAATTAAAAATATTTTTATTTTTATCATTATCATTAACGTCAATTAATATAACATGTTCACGTGTAATTTTTTAATAAATTAATAATCTTTCATAAGATAATAAACAGTTAAACACGTATCAATAATATTTTGTTGATTTAAAATAATTTAAATTTTATAATTTAGAATAATTATAATAATAATTTGGTATATTTATGAGAAAGACGTTATATAAATTATTATTCTTTGAATCTAACGAAGATGTAGTAATATAAAGTTGGTATACCGATAAACTGTTTTAGTAGCGTGTCATAGTGAATCTCATACGTGGAACTTTGAAGTTGCGACAGCTCACCTCAGATTCTCGACAAATTTTATTTATCTCTTTTGCTATTGGTTGCAAGAAACTAACAATCCAACTTCTCTTGTCCCTTCAACTTCAAGTTGTGAACCATTTACATTTGTCCTGTAATGATTTTGTTTGAATATTGTATATATCTATAATTTCTCAAATATATGCTATTTGTTTGCTTATACACCCTATCTCTATTTCGCCACTTGTCTGCTTTTTACCTTCTATAATTTTATTTTAAAATTCTAGAATCAATGTGAAAATCATGAAGCATTTCAATAAAAATTTCTAGGGTTTGTTTGAATAAGAGATTTTGGGTTTCTATCGAAAATTTTAAATTTATTTATTTAAAAAATTATCATAATATTATCTATATAAAAATTTAAAATCTATGAGAAAAACTAAAAGGAAAATTTCGTAACCTAAATCTTTTAAAGTTCATCTAGAGAGGTGATTTTTCTATTAAAAAAATTATCGTAATATCATTTTACTTAATACACAAGATCTCATCATAAAATATAAAAAAAATTAATATTGATTTATATTGGTTCTACTTCAGTTGTATACCTTTATTATATTGTTTTTTATTGCTAATGATTCGTTTTTTCAGTTCTCCCTTTTAAACTTGATACCTTTCAAGAATAAATAATGCTAAGATAAATCACTATTTTCCCACAAAATCTTAAAGAAAATTTTCACAAACATGAATACAAGTTTAACGAAATATAACACCCTAATTCAATTCGACTCAAAAATCAAATATTAAAGTATCATACACGACCACCGAGGTGGTTAACCCAAAAATTTTCTTTTAAAATATTTGTAAAACATCATACGAAATCATCCATCGAAGTCATAAAATAAAACCATAATATTAGAGTTTACAAATACGAAGAGCTCCCAAAATACATTCTAGAAATAAAATAGTGTTTAAAACAAAATAGAGTTACAACTGAATACAAAGGGTCTACAAGTAGTACACGCCCTCTAAATATGAATCAAGACGTACTTTGAGGCCTCGAGTGATCTAGAATTTCTAGAGACGATAGTGCTCCACAACAGTCTCCCAAGAACCTGTGCATGAAAACACATTTTGATTGATGAGCTTACGAGCTCACTGCCACCCTAGTAAATGTAATGTACTTCATGCATTCACTACACGAGCATGCTAGTAGCATAGGTGAGAACACATAAGGATGCTGACATACAAAGCTGATGTAGGCATCATGGTGTGGCTGAGGGTTCTGCATCTTGGAGCGCACACCCATCTAGCCTACCTAAGATTCCCTTGGGTATCTGGGTGAGATCTGGAACTTCATCGGAAACGTACACAGGGCCAACTTACTTCGTTGAGTCTTGGGGCATCTTATCCTAGTTGGTAACTAAAGTTCCTTGGCACTAGCCGATATATATCCGGATACTGCTAACAAACAAGACAATCATCAACTGCTAAAGTAATCCGAGTGTTATACAAAGACTAGTTTTATGTTATCCTAGTTGATGTTGTTTCTAGTTGTAACTGTGTTTATTATTGTTCTCACTTGTAGTTTTATCTTGGTGATGTTCTGGTGTTATTGGGCCCTTTGAGTCTAACCCTTTAATCATTTGGGTTTCTTACCCAAAACTGTACGCTGGTACGATATTGTGTCCTTTAGTATTGATATTGACCCTCAAATATCAATGCCCATCCTTGGTATCGATACTAAGAATGGCTACTGGAATCTGAGGGAATTAGGTAGTATCAATACTCTTAGCTAGAGTATTAATACTTCTGCAGTAGGGCATCAATACCAAAATTTGCTTCGATGTTTTAAAAATACACTCGGTATCGATACCCCTATTGAGAGTATCGTTACTCCTATTGAGAGTATCGTTACTTTACCTCTCAGTATCGATACTCACATGAGTACCGATACCAAAATTGGCTACCAGAATTTGCAAAGTGGTCTCGATATCGATACTCCTCATGTTAGTATCGATACTCGTTAAATGATTATCGATCCTCCTAGTCTAAAATTCTCCTATTTTAGGCTATCTAATGATCAATATTGGTATTGTTCTTTCAGTATTGATACTTAAACCCATAAATGCCCTGTTTAGGCACGAAAATGACTCCCCATTTCATCCAAAAGCCCTACTGAGGTTCTCAAACATTATTAGAGTTTTATGTATGATAGAAGGGGTCATAATAGGTCAATAAACATGCTGAAAAACACTAAGTACTAAGATTTACCATGAACATGCTTATACGCTTCATAACTCATGCAAACCAAACAAGCACACCTAGTGATCTACATGTGGTAAAGATGAGTTATAAGTGTGTTACCTTGAATCCTAATTTATGTTGAAAGTTTTCAAGTCTTAACAAGTGCTACTGGTTTGGGAGTTTGGAAAGAGATTAAAAACTCTTCCTAAAGCATTAATTCTCTTAAACGCATACTCATTACACATGGGTTTCTAAATCCCCACAAAAACCCATATTTAGTTACCATAACTAAAATTTATGCTTGAGGGCTTGAACCAGAGCTCTAAGGATGGAGATTACAATTCTCACCTTTGCAGACTCGGATTAGAAATGATGATCAATAAAGCTCCCACCTTTGTTCAAGATACCATGGAAGATGAGAGGGGTTTGAAAAAGAGAAGAAGACAAAGAGATATGATAGAAGAAAAATCAGACGTGATGTCATCCAACCTTAATTGCTTTCAACCTTTTAAACTAAAATTTGGATAATTGTTCCCTTGGTCCCTCAAGCTTTGGTCAAATTTCAAAAATTCCCCGTTTAACAACAATTGGGTCCAATCCAAGCCCAATTCCACTCAAACTTGGGTCAAGATTTCCTACAAGCTAATGGGTTCATCCAAGGCCCTCTCGAGTTAGTTCGACACTCCTAACCCTAGATTTAGGGCGTTACACGAACAATTAATTTACCTTTTAAAGGAATGGATTAAATCGTGTACTTAGCAACTATGTTGTTAGAAGTTTCTTTCCTCAATTTGGAGTTTTCAATCTTCCAAGGTTATACTCTTATCATTAGCTTGTATTGTTTAATACTTATGATTGTTGCATTCCTTTCTAAAGACAAGTGATCATTCATGTAATATCACTATCACAACACCAACAAAAATTTAACAACTTCGGTAATCTTAGTTTAGCTAAAAACATGCCTAATTTGTTCCTAATCATGCTCTAAATAGTTGGAGCACATTTTATGCACGTATTTACACATGTAAAACAAATTTTCACTCTCAAATCATATTTAAATCAAATTTTTGGCCATATGAGCACATTTGGTACAAAATGGAGTTTTAATTCACTAATCCATTGAATTCAAGCAAACACTGGTACTCCATATCGTTCGAAAAGCTCACCTAAATGCACCACGCCATTTACTTGTCCATATCACAAAATAAAGCATGCAGTTTAGTCTAAACATATATAATTCATGAAAATATGCTTATCATTATCACTCCATACTTCAAAACCATTAAGCTTAACAATTACAAGCCAACTTGAGGCATGTGTCAGCATGCTAGACAAAATACTACACCGTATACATGCCACTACTATAAGAGGGGATAAGTGGAATATATTTTGAGCAAAATATGACCCATTTGTTTATGTGTGACATCTCGATCGAATGTTACTATATAACTTAAATCTGTACACGGAAAAAAAATTGCACGTTAAATTATTTAAATTTAAAAATATTACAACTAATAAAATGAATATATTATCAAACTATTAAGTCAAAACATCATGCAAATATTTCAAATAACACTATAACATAATCATAACAAACATTGCGTGCAATATGACAAATATTTCTTATAATCATTTTTATTATTTACTTCTTGTTTACGCAAATGTATTTTTAGTAGGCTTCTACGTAAGGTGCACAGGTAAACTTGTAACGGTCTATAGCAGAGTGGGTACACAAAATGCTATCGTTAATACACACACTATTATCTTGACACCGAAAGTGCAAATTTGAATGTAAATTTTATTAGTTAAAACTTTTTGTATTACTAAAGGGTACTTTATGAGTCCTTTTCCTTAAAATTTTAAAAATACGTCTTTTAATTTAAAATTTTATGTTCATTCTTTTTTTTTAAATTAAACACTGGTATCCGAACTATTAACCGACTAATCCAGATAGGGTACTGCAGAGGCGAGAGCTATCCTCCCAACCCAGTTTGCTCTATTCGCAAACGTCATGATTTAAACCCTTAACCTTGTTTAAGGGACCTAGTGTCTCGTCCCACTAGACCAACTGCTTGTTGGTTATGTTCATTCTTAAACTTGGGAATTAACGACTTACCGTATTAAAATTTATTTTTTAAATAGTAAAGGAAGTTATATTACATGAAGATACTAGGTTAAAGATATCTCACTAAAAAAATTCTAAAATAACTACTAAATATAATCAATCTAAAACATCGACCATAGGTTTAAAAGAATGATTATAGGATTTTCGGCTTTATCCAAATCTCACTAAAACAAATTTAAGTCATTTTAAAAAGGCTATATCATAAATAAGTATTTAAAGTATACTTTTTTTCATCTAAGTACCTAAAGTATTTTTTGGGCAAAAATAAATACATGAAGTTATTTTTTTAAGTCAAAATAGGTACCTGAAGTATTTTATGTCAAAATAGATACCTAAACTATTCAAACTTTTTAATCTAAGGGTCCGTTTGTTTCACGAAAAACGTTTTTCAAAAAAATGTTTTCCTCATTTTCCAGTGTTTGGTTGGAGGAAAATTAGTTGGTCAACGTAAAATATTTTCCTGGTCAACAGAATTTCTTTCGTGTTTTCTGGAAAATGACTTATGGTCTGATTTTCCGTAAGTCATTTTCCGAACTTTTCACTTCAAAGAATAAATACTCAAAATAATTTTATTTTATAAATTTAATATTAATAAAATATTAATAAAATATTTTAATTTCATTTTAATCAAAATATTAATTATTAAAATATTTAAAATATATTTATTAATATTTTTAATAATATAATATAAATTTTTATTTTAATAATATATAATAAATTATTAATAAAATTTATATTATTTATTAATTTCATAGAAATAATATTATTAAATTAGTAATAATGAATAATATTATTTATATATTTAATATTAATATAACAATCTAATAATATTTTAATAAAGATATTTAAAATATACTAATTAACATTTTTAAAATATAATATAACAATATTAATTTAGTAAATAATTAATATAATTTATAATATTTTTATTTAATATTTTTATTAATAAAATTATAAAAATAATATTTTTATAATAAATAAATTATTTTAATATTTTAAAAATAATACTATTAAGTTTTATTATAAATAATATTATTTATTGTATTTAATATTTGTAATAAATAATTTTAAAAAAATTATCAACTAGTGGAAAAAGGGTTTAAACAACATCTTCCAAACATCGTAAAACGTTTTCCAGAAAATGTTTTTAAGAAAATGTAATTCATTTTATGAAAAACATTTTCCGAAAAACGTTTCAGTGAAACAAACAGACCCTAAGTTCTAAAAAAAGTTTATATGCGACATTAATTAAAGAAGGTACTTAGATGAAAAAAGTTGAATACTTTAGATACCTATTTTGACTAAAAAAAAATTTTAGATGCCTATTTTGACCAAAAAGATAACTTTAGGTACTTATTTTGACTAAAAAATACTTTAGATACTTAAATGAAAAAGATGATATACTTTATATAATTATTTTTTATATAAGTGTTTAAAAATAAGTTTTAACCAATTAAAAAATATTTGAATCATATAGCATAACTTATATTACAATTTTTTACTTTTGAGATTTAAAAATGTTTGATGAATTTCTTAATATCTTTACATAACATAACTTAAAAATATCATAATTTTCTAATTAAATTTGATTAATCCATTAATTTTTCCAAAGATTCATATTAATTATGTAACTTTAAAAAATAAATTTTAAATAAATTTTGTATAAGATTTTGTGCACGATATGACATATGACCAAATTTTAAGCTATTAATGTATCATAATTTTAAGCCATCAAGTGAAAATAAAAAAAATATATATAAAATTTATATAAGATAATTGTTTTTATATAAAAATTTTAATTAAAATTCGAGCGTATGACACAAAAATTTATATACTCCACAACTTTTTTTTTATCATTTTATACATACTTTTTTGTAAAAAAATTTGTTTTTAAGTTTTTCTATAACTTTTTTATTGAAAATATTATGCTAGATAATTTATTTTACACATTTTTCTTTTACGAATAGAATCTCATAGTTAAATCACGCAATATTTATAAAAAATTGCTTAATTTATTCAAGTAATCATTTGTTTATTTATGCTATTAATTAGCTTTACTTTAATCTTTTATAAAATAAAGTTGTCACACAAAATATATGAATAGATAAAGTAAAACTTTTTTTTATAATAGTAAGGTAAAACTTAATTTTACTACACGTTTTCAGTATGTATAAAGCGATTAAAACTCAAATTTGTAGAATGATTTTCATAAAGAAAGATTCATATAAAAATAAATGCATATACGACAATGATGAAACTTTAAGTTTTCACGTGTCAATAAGTCATCTACGTAAGTTTTTTTTATTAATAAAAACATATGCATATGATATATAATAATTTTGATTATAATAAATAAATTAAAAATATTATATAAAAATTAATGCATAAAACTAAAATTTAAACCAATTAATTATATAATAAAACATATGTATAACAAAGATTTAATACATATTTTAGTTCATCTACCTTTTTTTTACAATCAAATTGACTCTTTAACTTTCATTTTATCAATATCACTAGTTCTAAAATAATTTTTATAAAAAAATATATTAAAACTAGAAAAAAACATACAATATTTCTTAAAATTTTGAGTTCTTTTTATCGAATTCATGATATTTTAAGAAATTTTGTTTTTACATTTTTAATGAGCTTTTTTTAGAAAATTTTTCAAGAAAAAGCTTTATTTTTTTCTATTTTCCTTTTATACACAGTGAAACTTGTTTGGACCAAAGTTAATTTTCTTTAATTATTCGATCTATTAATCAAATAATTTAGATAAATTACATAAAAGTTTACTATAAAAATGATCCTTTCATCACAATTTACACCATTCACGCTATTTCTTTCTAACATAATATGCCAAAATACCTTCCACACAGAGGATATAATTATTGAGACTGAAAAAAATAAAAGTTTCACTAAAATAAAGAGATAAAAATATATATTAAATTTATAACTAAATTTGGAAAGATAAAAAAAAATAGTTTATTGTTCACAAACAGAGCTGAAAATTTACTATAAGACCTAATATTGATATTATGGATGCATCAATCAAATAAAATATCTACATATCGAAATTTTATTATCTCTGAGTGTGTATATATAATATTAGTAGATAAGTTGAAATTTAACCCGCAAATTAGTTAAAATTACTTTAGAATCCAAATAAAACAATGTACAATATTTTCTTTAGCATTCCTTTATTTTACTTATAAATTTGAAGGAATAAAATAAAATAATACATAATTTGTTTAATAATTTCAAACCAGACAGGCAGACCCATCATTTTATCCTATTTAAGTTCTATTAATCTTTGGCCTTGAAAAAGGGGGTTGGAGTTACCTTTATTTATGTAGCGTGATCAAACAACTTTGAAGAACTGCAAGGGGGTTCACAAAAGCACATGTAAATAATACATAATCTTTTCTTCGGCCTTTATCTATTTTACCCGTTATTTTACTGGTCTTGGATTATTATTATATTTTGAACGGTTCAAGGAAATTCGATTTGGTCCAATGTGAGGTCAAAATCTGTTTGATAGTCCAAATATCCAAGAATCCAAAGTGGGTCGAAGCCCAAAGTCCGTCAAGTTCACAGTACGGTCCATATTTCAGGGTCCAAATCCATTTCGGGGCACAATTATGGGAGCTCAATTTGCTTTAATTTTTTAATATGGCTTTTTCTTAGGGGAGAGCACTTTTTAGAGCTTATGTTAAGATGTTAGTTATAATCAGTATCAGGTAGCAGTAAATCGGTTATATTGTTCTATTGTTATTTTTTGAAATAAATGCAAAAATTGAAGAACAAAAAACAAAGAAATGAAAAGGATAAGGAGCTTACGAGATTTGATTTAGTCAGAATAGAAAATCTGCAAAAAGAGAAGACAAATCAAAGACTACAACCTAGATTTTTCAGAAAAATAAACTGATAAAAAAGGAACATGCATACACAAACCACACTTGCAGTCATGGGAAAAAAACACCTAACGCGACATCCTGACAAAAATAAAGATAAAGCACACAGACTGCAAAAGGTATGACCAAACCCAGAAAAAGGGGGGAACAGAATTCTTCTTCTTCTTCTTCTTCCTCTTCTTCTCTTAAGCTCAACTTGGGGAAATGATTCAATGAGGGTCCTGGAGTCCTGAAAAAAATAGTTAAATCTTTCGAAGAATAAAGAAATAATAAGGAAAAACAATTGAAACATTACGAGGATCGCAGGTACTTTAGCTTTTCTGTGAGGAAGGGATAAGATGAGAATCAAAGGAGGAGAGATGAGGCAGTGCCTTTGGGTGGAGGAGACTTATCAAGTCTAAACAAGGGGGCCCTTTTATAACAAAACAGCTCAGGTAGATTAACCCTAATTCAACCCATGACCCGACCCGTATGCTAAATTTTACGTTCCTTATTTGTTTTTTCCCTTAAAAACAAAATCTTCAAAAGAAAAAAAGCAAAAATAACTTATTCTCTTAAAAACAGTAACTATGCTGAGATTCATGTATTATTTGAAAATTTTATTTTATTTTTCTTCAATTTTATATTATTATTTTTTAATTAAAATATTATTTAAGATTCAAGTACACGCAACTTTAACTAAATTTTCATGCCATGATTCGAAATTGAGAGTAGTTGTTAACTATTAACCCTTGAATATTTGTCAGTGACTTTGGTGAGCTAATAATTGGAGTGCGTAGCAAGAACCAATTAATAGGTATTTGATAAAAACCATGACATAACAATTTGGATAAAATCGTACGCACATGAGAACCTATTTATTTCTCTAATTAATGTTCGGATGACCTAAAATAAATTTGTTTTTAATTTAATATATCTTCCCCAAAACCAAAGTGGTACAATTTTGTTTAACCTTGCTCATACTTATTCTGGACCGTATTAACTCATAGCATGGAAAAGGCCCAATTTGATTGTCACACATGGAATTCAAGGGCCTGGGTTGACAGTGACGTTGCACTGATTTGAGGGCTGTCTTGTAGGCTATAAATATTTGCTTCTTAAACGAGCAGCGATTAGCACCACTAACGATGAATATCATTAATTTAATTTATAAAAAATTAATTTCCAAAGGACTCAACGTATAATTATAAATTAGTTAAAAATTTAAAAAAAATATTTAAAATAAAGGGTAAACTATATTAGTGATCATCTAACTATTGTCCCTTTTCATTTTGATCAATATTTTTTAAATTTTGTCAATCATGTCAATCAACTATTTAAATGCATTCAATTAAGCCACTTTCCGTTAATATTTAACGAATAAACTGATGTGACATTTAAAATATTTATTATAATTACACATTTGATCACTGTTACTTATATATTATATCAATTTGGTCTTAATTTTAATAAATTAAAATAAACTTAACCCTCAAATTTTTAATTTTAAAAGATTTTAAAGTTACGGCATATTCCATATTTATAACAAAACAATATCTATGTTTCTTAGACATTTCATATATTTGTTGAAATATTCACATTTGATAAGTTTTGTGGGTAATTAAATTAATCCATGTTCATATGATTATATTATGTTTTAGTAAGATAGGTTGTAATTAGAGTTTATATTATGTTCTATTCATACAATCTGTAATCGAGTTTGAATAGTCACCGACTTAATTCACAATTTGACCCTTCAGTCAAATATATATGTTTTTAACTTTGCATCCCAATCTTCTGGTTCCATTTCTACATGGCATTATATAATTCACAAGCAACAAAAGGTCACCGGTGCAGGGTTTTCTCAATGCCTAAGAAAATTTGCGGGTTTAATGACCAAATTACGAAAGCAAACTGTTAAGAACTATGCCGATCCATTCTGCTTGAAAACAATGCAGAGTTAAAATTCTAAAAAGAATCAATGAAAATAAGACAAATCCATGTAATAAAAAGACAATTTGAGAAAGGTGGTAAAAGTTGTACGGTGCAAAGAAAATAGAAGAGCACATACAACTTGAAACATCTATCTAGCTCACTTCCTGCCACTGCCACTGCCACGAACCTTGCCTGTTCTTCTTCTTGACACCAGACTTAGCTACCTTCGGACTCCTGTGCACGGCACTCAACCTTGCGAGGGCTGCTTCCGTCAGATCAGGCCTGTAGTAGTTGTCTTTCACCTGTGATGTTTGAAGCATCCATCATGAGAAAAAATATTGATAAATTATAGTAGAACATTGTGGTCAGAAATAGGGGTGTGCATTATCGGATATTATCCGATCCGAATTTTCGGATATCCGAAAATATCGGATACCTAAAGTAATGATCCGTATCCGATCCGAAAAAATTGGAAATCCAAAATTTCGGATATATCCAAATATCCGGATCCAAATCCGATTTTTCCCGCAAATAATTCAAAAAAATAACATAAATTAAAATATTTATATTTACTTGTTTTCCAACAATTTGTTTATGTAATTACATGCCCCATTACAATTAAAATTTTAAATAACATAATACAATAAAATAGTCCCCTAAATGTTAAATAGCATAAAGTAGTGTACATTATCAACACAATAAACCAACACAAGATGTGCAAAATAAAAATATTACATAAGAGTATTAAGTCTCAAATCAACACAATAAAATATACATTTATGTTTAAACTTTAAATATTGAATAAACAAAAAAAAGAAGCAAACAAACATAAAAATAAACTTACCTTCCTCCAACTCTTCCAAGGCAATTACATTTTCCTCTATTCGAGAGGTGCGTAACCAATCTTGAGTGCAAAAAAGTGCTTCAACTATTTTTGGAGTCAATGAAGTGCGAAAAGAATCATGGACATGACCCCCCGTACTAAAAGTCGACTCAGAAGCTACAGTCGAGATAGGTATGACAAGTACATCTTTAGCCATCCTACGAAGAAGCGGGTATCTTTTTGGTTGATCTTTCCACCATTGTAGGATATCAAAATTTAAAACATGAGACTCACAAGCATCTTCTAAATACTTCTCCAACTCATTTTTATTGGCACTAGTTAACAAACAACCCGTATCCCTTTGAAATTTTGAAGCCATAAGTTGTTGAAGATCAATCTTACCTCCGCTTTGAGTCTCACCTTGAGTGAAATTAAATAAAGAAGTAGAAGTGGAGGAAGACATATCACTTGTCTTTGAAGGAGGCATTGAAGAATCATGAGTCAAATAAAGATTGTAAAACCTTCTTAATTTTGAGGCACAAAAGAGTGACATGTTTCATCATAAGAATCATGCACAATGCAATTAACATAATTCAACTTGTGCCTAGGGTCAAGGATCACATTCACAAACATCATAATATTGATATTATCAATGTTCCCATAATACTTATCATACTTAGACATCATTTGGGCTGCAATTCTCTTAATACCCTCATCATCATCACTTATGTTGGATATCATTAATCTAGTCCCGTAAATCTCGTGTGCATAATGGTTACAAGTCACATAACGAGAACCAAATAACCTCAATGTTGCATCATAAAAAATGCTCAAGAAAGGTAAAAAACTACCGACCCTATTCCAATCATCTTCAATGGGACCACCACCAACCTTTCTAAGTTCCTTGAAAGGAGAGAAGTATTTCATGTATAAATGCCTTTTTAAACTTGATAATAGATTCGAGCATTAGGAAAGTTGAATTCCATCTAGTTTCAACATCTAAAGTAACAAGACTTTTACTATATTCTTTCTCCTATTCTATGCAAATTTTAAATTTTTGAAGTCTTGCAGGAGAAGATCTAACATATCTCACAAGAGTTCGAACTTTCATAATGGAAAAATCAAGTTCTTTCAAACCCTCTTTCATAATCAAATTCAAAATGTGGGACGCACATCTCATATTGTAAATATCGACCCTCCAATAAACTAGACTCCCAAATAATAAGTCTTATTCTCAAGTATTCAATTGCTAAATCATTTGAGCTAGCATTATTTACGGTTATAGTCATAATGTTTTTCAAACCCCAATCAATCAAGCATTTTTCAACATCTCTGCCAATAAGTTGTCCGGAATGACCAACAATTGGACAAAAATTAATTATCCTCTTATGCAAATTCCATTCATCATCAATAAAATGAGCTGCCAAACACATATATGTTAAATTTTGATTCGATGTTCAAGTGTCTATGGTTAGACAAACCCTAAATTGTAAGTTCTTAAAAGTCTTTTTCAACTTATTTCTTTGTTCAATAAAAAGAGCATAACAATCTCTAGTGGCAGTTGTACGAGAAGGAAGCTTAAAGAGATGATTCAAAGCCTTGCAGAATTCAATGAAACCTTTACGTTCGACAAAAGCAAAAGGTAATCCATCCACAATAAGCATTTTAGCAAGCTTCTTCCTACACAAATCATGATCAAATTTCCAGCATTTTGGAACACTAACTATTTCATTACTTACATCTTCATTTACCAACAACGTTTCACTTTCAAAATCAATCAATATTTGTTTCTTATCCAAATTTGGAGGATATTTTTTGCACCTACTAATGTGATTTGCTAAAGGTGTAGTGCCATTTTTGGTTTTACAACCAATAAGTTTTTGACAATACTTACAGGAAGCAAAAGTGGGATCCTCCTCATCAACTGAAAAATGACTTCACCACTTGGACTTTCTCTTCATCTTTTCAATATTTTTATTGACAAAAGTTTTTTTTACTGGTGAATTTTGTCTTCCTTCCTCATCAGACTCCATCATCGAGTCAACAAATACGAAATTAAAATCTCAATTCTCATCAAAAGATGACATATTCTGTAAACAAGCAATAAAATATATTACAAAATGTATGCATTACATTTCATTTTCTATAAATTAGTTAACTAGATTAGTTTGTTTTGTTATTTACCCAAATAAAATATAGGCCTTACATGAGATTGAAATGGAGATTGGTTAGAGTTTTGGCTCATCATCTTCAAACGTTGAGAGGGAGAATCTGTAAATTCCCCGTACAACCTGAACACCAAACAAGATTTGATGCTAAACTAGAATTGCAAATTCCCTACAAGCATGGAGTCAAATGAAAAAGTAAGCAATCATCATCTTTTTTACGACTTCAAAATTAGGAAGCATGCAAGCAACAAATTAATACAGACGTTATCATCAATATGGTGACACTCATCAGAATCTCTAAACCAAACTTTTTACAGAGCTCCATCGAGAAAACTAGATTATCATACTGCAATTTTAGTCCTATGATAAAGTTGAAACCATTCTTACATCCAGTAAGAAGCAAGCATATTACTGCAATGCATGATCACTTCACTTCTAGCTCATTATCGAAGCCATTAATAACAACTAT